CCTGGTTGGCCGTACTGCTCGGTGGGCTTTGAAGCTTCAGATATATGATTTTGATGTTGTTCACTGCCTAAGGAGTTCTATGGTTGATGCTGATGCCCTTTCTCGAGCTCCTCTTCCTTCTTCATTCTCTTCTCATGTTTCTGATGAGCCTGTTGTTCCAACATTTGTGGATTTTCTAGATGAGGATTCTGTGCCGTCGATGGTTGCTGTACTTAACGTTTAGTGTCCACAAGGTGCAGAGCAAGATCTACCTTCGCTTGATGAGGTTTGCGAGGCTCAAAAGATTGAGCCATGGATTCGAAGGCTTCGAGATGGGTTTGAGAATTCTACATCACTTGCTGATGACTTGCCTTTCTGGCATTTACATTCTTAATATCATTTTGAAGGTGGCCTTCTTTATTTTGTGGGGACCGATCCTGATGATCATTTACGGCTGGTGGTGCCTTCTATCTTTATTCCGCGGTTTCTCCATGCCTACCATGATTCTTCTGTTCTAGGTGGGCATATGGGACATCATCGTGTAATTGAGAAGTTACGCAGGTCTTTCTATTGGCCGGAGATGCAACGTGATATTATCCGGTATGTGCATAGTTGCATTTGGTGCCAAACTCGTAATACTCCCCCTCGGGCTGCGGAAAGACGGTTAGAGTCAATTGCAATTTCCCGTCTGTTTGAGTTGGTGGCATTTGATCTTATGGGACCTTTTCCACGGTCAACTGCTGGCAATGAGTATGTTATTATTGCTTCTGACTATTTGACTCGTTGGGTGGAAGTTGGTGCTCTTGCTAGCGCCTCTGCAACTGCTGTTGGATACTTCCTCCTCAATCGAGTGGTGTTCCAGCATTCTTGTCTAGAGCGGATTCTTTCGGATAATGGTCCCGCATTTATGGCTGAGGCATTTCATGTTTTGACATCTCAGTTGGGGATTCGCCACACTTTCACGAGTGCTTATCATCCACAATCAGACAGTCTGGTGGAACGGCTCATTCGGACGTTCAAGGGGATGATTGTGAAGTATGTGAACTTTCAGCATTCGGATTGGGATGGTTATTTGCCATCTCTTCGGTATGCATATGTCACTGAGGTGCAGAGTTTTGTTAGTGCTTCACCATATAAACTCCTATATGGTCATGATCCAATATTACCAACAGAGCTAGGTTTACCTTCGCAATTGCCACAAGCTGCAGATGCTAAGTCATGGGATCAATATTTGACAAGCATTCTTCCACTTGTCTGAGTGAAGTCTACCAAACACTTATGCCGCGTACAAGTGGGACAAAAACGGCACTATAACTCCCATCATCGTCCACCTGCGGAGTACAAAGTGGATGATTTGGTATTAGTCCGTTTTCCCCATCTTACAGTACGTGGTTTATCTAAGGGGCTCCTTGCACAGTGGAAAGGACCATATCAAGTGTTGTGGCAAGTTGGACCACAAGTTTATGAGGTTCAGCATGACGTCCAACAGGCCGATCTTCTAGAGATTGTGCATGTGCAGCGGTTAAAATGCTTCATACAAAGGGATCAGGAGCAGTTAATACCATCTACAAATCTGCCGATGCCTCCTCCTGATGTTCCTGCAGATCTCGGCCCGTCTACAAGAGAACCCTGATGGTCTTCCATTATTCCGAGGGGAGGGGATGATGTGAGGGCCAAGTGTATGGCTATGATGCCGTATATTAATATTAACGTAGTGGGATTTTGGTAGCCGTTGGATTAGTTTCAATCTGGACCACTCACTCCTATATATAAACTAAAGTTTTTGGGCTAATTGATATGCACATTTCTGAATTCCCTTTCCATATTCCAAACACTCACAATATTTATATTTAAAATGATTAACTTATTATGTACTCCAATTGTACATATTATACTAACCTATATAATAGCTTTATGGGCTGATTACAGTAAAGTCGGCCTCCACTTCAATTTCATTGTGAGGGACAAGACCGTGTTGAGGAAGAAAGAAGACACCATCTCCATCGCACCACCAAGATGGCTCCCGGCTGCCTTGAGGAGCTCAAGGTCTTGTTCTCCTGCCTCAAAAAATCTGAAGCTACAGGCCACTGGCTCATGTGAGTCTCTTACGGTTCTAGACCTCGAGGTGTGGGGCAGCCTTGAATTGGGACCGGCCATGTGGAGCTTGCTCCCGTGCTTCCGCAAGCTCAAGTGCTTCCGGATGGCTGGAGACTTCTACAGTTCTAAGAGCCTCTTCGATCAGTCGCCATTTGCAAGCTGCCAGTTTTGAAGAGCTACGAGTGTGTCTGGAGGCGCTCCCTGCAGCAGGCCTGACGCTAGCCACGCTCAAGACTGCTAGCCTCGAGAGTTTCCATTTCTCGGGTTATTTCAAGGTTGCAGCGAGAACGAGAAAGTTTAATATTTGATTGATCTTGGCGTTCAGAAGCTTGGTGTTATGAAAGTTGGCAGCTTGGACGGAATGTCTATTGGGATCTCACACCCCGAAAGCTTGCGTGAGCTCGAGCTCTCGTGCTGGATCATCTACAATCTCAAGAAGCTGAAGATCGCTAGGAACTGGGAGCATGCTAGCGTCTTCACGTTTTGAGTCTCACCACCGAGCTATCCTTTGGAGACCACCAATGGGATTGCCATTCCAATTGGCAGAGATTTTGAGCCCGCCTGTCACCTGGAAAGCATCCATTTCGGTGTCAGGTGCATAGATTTAAAGGTTTGCTCGTTCTTACCACTCAATCGCTGATCCTTTCTTCTCATTGCAGTGGTTTCAGGGTGATGTAGATCACTTCAAGTTTGAGACGCTCACCGTGCACGTCTGGATGAATGGCTTGGAACAGGCCCCGGATCTTGATGTTCTCAGTGACTTGCTTCGCGTTCAGCTCGGGGTGCATTACATCCACGAGGACATTACCTTCAAGGATGGATCAAGCCTTCCGGCAAGCGCCAGCAGCAGACTCGTCTTCCCACCCAGAAGCAGTGATCAGTCCGGTGTCGCGCTCCATGAACAGACGCTACGTCTCGTGGCGATGCTGCCCTTCCCTTCTCGCATCTCGTTAAAGAGGGAGTGAAAGCGGTGCACTCTACGTGGATATACACGCAAAAAGTTTGAGAAGAAGAGGACGCGATCAGCACAAAGAAGATATCAAACTTCCAAATACTGTGGTCGATATGTACTCCAAGTCGGGGCGCTTTAGCATGGTTTTTGAGAGGATGCCATAGCACAACGTCATCTCTTAAATGGTGCTGATGCTCGGCTGTGTGGAGAATGGGGAGGAAGAGCTGGGAGTGGAACTTTTTGACAGGATGAAGGCTTTGAAGTTTTGTTGCTGGTATCAAGGCCTGTGCTACTCAAGCCGAGAAAGAGGCTGGAATGGAGATCAATGCCAATCTCTCTACCAAGATCAAGCTAAAGTTTCTGGAGATAGGGATGACTTGAGCTCGAGCTCAAACTATATAACAAGGACGTGACGTGTTTGGTCTCGTGCATCTATATGTGAAGTCCTCGACTGTTGCTGTTTTTGTATGCACCCAAAACAAACCCGAAATCAGATATTCCCGAGAGATTGGAGTAAAGTCCTACTTGTCTTTTATATAACAGGAGTTTTCTAGGGGAGGGAAAAGCTATGGAGGAGGTGGAAGCGGCCGTGGAGTTCCTTAAAGCAGTCGTGGAATTCTCAAGGACAGGCGTGAAACCTGACTGGATAGAGGTAGAGTATGGGCCTTATGGCATCCGTCGACAGAAGGATTGTAGGCCTAAACAGGTTAAATCTCATGAGGAGTTGGAAGAGATTGACAGGAAGAAGAAGGAGCTGTGGGAATTGCACAGCCATGGAAATGTATTTGGCACTATTTGCTCCACGTGGGTTAGCTATGGGCGCTGTGGATTTGATGATTCGGATCTCTTGTGTAGCAGGGAGCATCCTCCAGAGTATCGAGGGAAATCAGGCTCTATCCTAGATAATGATTTAGCGTTCGCTCGCCAGAGAGTCCAGAATGGCCAGGTTGAGAGGAGGATCTTGCCTCTAAGTAGATGTAAGTCATTGAATAATGAATGACGATCATTCTCCCAGAGAAATTTCTTTCCACTCGCAAAATTTGATTTTGCGCGTTGCCATCATCCCCTTGCTCTCTGTGTGTTTTCCAACCTCTCTTTGTAGGCCGGGGTGGAGAACGGTTTGGCAAGCTTCTGCATATGGTACGGTATTTGCTCGGTAAGATCTTCGACTTTTCTCTCTAGCCACATTGTCATCACGTCTGGAAAGGTTGTTCGTTTGGTACATGTTTCCAGTACATCAGTGCCGTAGTCGCGATCCCGAACAGCTTGTTTATCTTTTTCACAATGTTCCAGAGACGTAAAGGCTGCAGTTGATACTGTGATCAACAGAAACAAGTAAAAGCTTCACTATGCTGCCTTTAAAGTGAGGTTTTCGCTTTAATAGTATCCCTTCTGCAGCGGCATTGGATTCCACAGCGGCAGCCGTGCTGAGTACTGATCAGAGAGATGCTGCTGCCATATGGCATTCAGATGTTGAAAAGGAAAAAGGTAATTACTTGTTGGCTTTAAATAAATTGTTTTTGCTGACAACCCTAAGGGTAGGGTATGGGAAAGCAAGAGTCAACGTTCAAGATTAAGTATACACACATCTTTTGTAGGATGTTTCCAGAGCGCGTTTGGGATGTTTTACAGGAGAAGCTAAATGCTTCAGATCTTAGCGGCTTCTGCTTGGCGTTGGACTGTGAGTATGATAGAGTGGTACGCGCTTGTCTTAGAGAAGGATTCCCCAATAGGGCAGCCTCCATGCTTTTGGAGCCTAAACTTTATAGGTGCAAGGAGGAAACATATGCAGAGTTCATTCAGAGCCCAATGATGTGGATGGCCATGGTTGAGTTTATACAGGTGTTCAGACTAATGAAGGATCTGGGCTACAGGCGCACCAAGGAGATGTTTGAGAAGCTCATCATAGAATTTGATGTGCTCCTCCCGGCAGAGGAAGAAAGATATACCAAGAGAGTCAGGAGGGGTGATATGAGTGATGGCTTGAATCGCTTGGGACTGTATAGGATGGCTGGTCGCAAAGGGGAATACATAGCAGAGCTTGCTGATGAGATGGTGAAAGAAGGATATGTCCCAAGCCCCAGAATTGAGAGCATTGTTGACAAGCGCCATCAAAGCTGCCCGTATCTTAACGATCTCCACTTGTTGAGAGAGTTCTCCAGATTGGAGAAAGAGGAGCGGTATTTGCTGACATTCATGGCGCTGGCAGGGGGAGCGAGAAGTGGGTTGCTGCGGATCACGTCGTATGTTGAGCAAAACAATTGCAACGAGGACACCGTCAAGGCCATGCTCGCTGTCGTCGACGCACACCTCATGTCGACGTCCTCAACCGGCGAGTCGTTGGTCTTGTATCTCAAGATGAAGGCCGACTACAATCGCTACCTCGTTGATTTGAAGACCGGCCAACAACGCCAGGAGGCCGAACAAGCCACCCTCATGGCCTTCAAGATCGCCCAGGTATTTTTTATTTTATTTTATGGTTTTCATAGCTCTTTTTCTTTTGGTTTTGACAACATCTGGTTTTGAATGTGTCAGGAGCATGCTTTTGCGGAGCTTCCTCCGACGCACTCCTTCCGACTGGGACTCGCGCTGAACTTGTCGGCGTTTTGCTTCGAGCATCTCAACTCTCTGGATCGGGCTTGTTTTGTGGCACAGCAGGTATGCAAGCGTACGTTGTTTCTTGTGCTAATCCTGCTGCATTGTTTTTTCAGGCTATTGATGAGGCACAGGCCAAAGTGGAGGCGTCGGGGAAGGAGCCCCGGAGGGAAACCAGCCGGATCATGGAGCTCCTCCGGCAAAACCTCGCGGTTTGGACGAGAATGAGTATTGAATCATCCCTCTAAGTTGTGAATTCTAAGACCTGTGCCTAGGTTTGCCGACAATTGCCTAGTGTTGCAACTTGGATGATTCCAAGGGAAACTCAGCAGTGATAGAACTCGGTTTGACATTGAAACTCAGTTTCAGGCTTGGTATTGGAGAGAATTCATATATATAGTTTCCTGCTGTACGCAAGACGAGCCACCAGGAACAGAACGTCCCCGGCTCGAATCCAAGCCCTGAATGGACAGAAGAAGGGATTCACGCACATTGTTTTCTCAAGGATATGTATTCTAGCCTGATAAGTTCTTCCCAAAGCTTGTAAATGCGCATCGTGTAGCGTGATTAATTTTGTGCTTATGCCATTACCGATTGTTCGTGCGTTAGTAAGAGAAGATCTTCTAAACAACCCTTTTAATTTAAAAAATTCTCAAAAATGATTCAAAATTTAAATTTAAAATGACGATAATAGGTAATATATTATACTATGTTATAATCACTCCAAATATTATACTGTATATTATAACGAAAGTTCAGGTAAAGTGTACATTTTTATAAAATTTACTTATGCCAAGTGAAAACACTAAACCCTGAACACTGTTTTATATCATTGTTCTTCTTGAGGAATGGCGAGGTTGAAAAGAGCTGATTTGCGTGAGGCCGTGATGCAAATCGAGCAGCAGCGATGCGATCCGGATGGAGATCTCTGCGCGTTTCTCTTGCGGCAGTGCGGATCCAAGGCGCTGCTCGAGGGGCGGCGAATCCATTCCGTGCTCGCCGATCATGGCATGGATTCACAGACCCTGTTGGGCAATCTCCTCGTTCACATGTACACCAAATGCGAGAGGTTTCAGGAAGCTGGAGCGACGCAATGTCTTCTCGTGGAATAACATGATCGTCGCCCGCCGGCATGGTGGATTCGGCGAGAGATCGAGAGCACACCACAGAGAACGATGATCCAAGCGTATGCTTGAAACGGGCATATGGGTTGCTGCCTCTGGCTTTTAGACAGGATTGCCACGCGATCTCGACCACGCCATCGATTTCTTCCTCACAGGGATTACATGAACGTCTTGATAAACGCTTTTGTGCGGAGCGGGCAAGATGATCGCGCGGGACTTGTGTTTGAGAGGATTCAGCGTTCAAAGCGTTCTCTCCTGGAACATTGCTATCCAAGGCTATGCTCTAAAGGGCATCTGGAAGAGGTCAAAACGCTGTCCGATCGAATGCCCGAAGAAGACGTTGTGGCTGGAAACGCGAGGATGGGCGCATATGCCCAGCATGGGCATCTAGGTAAAGCGATTGCGGTGTTTGATCCCATGGAGCAGTGCAATGTTATCACTTCCTCTTCGATGATGGTGGCGTTAATTCACGGTGACGAGCACGATCGAGCTCGGTGGTTCTTCGATTCCCTGGCAGAGAAGAGCGTCGTGACTTGGAACTCTATGATCCACGCTGATGTCCGAGCCGGGCATATGGACCACGCGAGCAAACTCTTTCACGAGATGCCCGTGCTCTCTTGCAACGCCGGCTATGACCTTTCCTGCGACGCCAAGAGCGCCCTCCAGATCTTCGAGAGAATGCCGCAGCGAGGAACTTCGTCTGGCAACGCAATGTTTCGAGCATTCGCCCAGAACGGTGCTCGAGAGATCTTCCACTCGCTCATGCGACACCGCGACGTCGTCTCCTGGAACATCGCGATTGCGTCTTACGCCCAGAGCAGCGACAATCGCCCTTTTCGGCAAGATCCCGTCCAGGAGCGTTGTCACCTGGAAAGGCTGGCGAAATGCACAGGTAAGATGCTTTCTTCCTTGTGTTCGTTTCTAGATTTCTATGGATGAGAACATGAAATTGTACTGGGGTCTTGATCCAAGCACCGGAGATTTTCAGCGGGTATGGCTTGCTGGACGTTGTGTTCTCGAGCTTTGCTATGATTATTGTCAGCAAGATAACGTTTGCTCTTCCCGGAACTCTCCGTTGCTAATGCTTGCTGCTTTAGGCCTAATTCTTTTGTGCTCCTCTGGTAGATTGGAGACGAGACTTTCATCATCGCAGCTCTGATGGCGATGAGGCATCCGCGAGCCATAGTTCTTTCTGGAGCTCTCACCGTGCTTGCTCTCATGACTGTAAGTTCTCGTAAGCTTTCTTTCCTGTTTACTCAGGTGCTTTTATTCTTTTGCTAACAGGTTTTCTGCACCGTTCTTGGAAGAATCTTATCTCGCGAAGGCACATCAATAGTTTTGCCACTGGTATGGATTTCTCTTCGTTCCTTTCTTTTCCTCAGTTATTCCTTGTTGCAGTGTTGTATACTTTCTTTGGATTGCGGCTATTGTATATAGCGTGGAAGCCGGGCTATATACAAGCTTTCCTCTTTCGTTCCCGCAGGTCGAGGAGAAACTGGAAGGCAGCACGCATGGAAAGTCAAGAATCCGAAAATTTTTCTGCGCTCCAATCTTTTTGGAGGTATACTCACATCCAAGGTTTCATTCTCTGGCTGATCAAAATCAAGCCTTCACCCTTTTGGCGGATGGGAGATAGAAGCCAGATCGCAACGATTGCCAGTAAGTTTACATTTTTTTTGCTTGATCCAACTTAGAAATTTCTTCCTTAGATTTCTAGCTTGCTGCTCACAAAAACGCTGTGGGATTTACGCTGGGAGCAATCGTTGGACACACCTTGTGTAACTCTGGCCATGAGAATATCACTCTATCGTTTCTACGATCTCTACCGTTAATTGACCAACGCACACTTTGACGGCCACGATTCTTTTACGTGTACTATCGTTTTCCCGCCCAGTCCAGGGTATTTGAGCTAGCTAGGGTTTTTCTGGATGAGTGCGCGATGGAATCGCCACGGATGGATCCGGCTGCCGGGGATGTCGAAGAGATTATCAACGCATTGGATCCGAATTCGTCGGTGGAGCTGGACCTCGCGCGGCTACGCGGCGTCCTGGAGAATGTGAGTGTTTCTTGGTATAGGCGATTCTTTTTCACAGTAGCAGTGGCCGCTCTTCAGGTCCAAATCCATGGCTTCCAGCGGCGGCACTGTGGGCGTTTGGAGGAATTGCTGAAGCGGCTCCAATCTATTCAGCGTCCTGAAATTCTCGTGACTGAGGAGTTTTTCGAAGCGCTGGCGAAGCTCTATGATAATCTTGTCACTGGGGATTTCACTCGGAGGGAGGTTTTGTCGTTGAATTTGCAGCTTTTGTTTGTCATCGAAGATCTAAGCGATCATCCTCAAGGTGAGCGGTCGTATGTAGAGATGAGGCCTTAGTGATTTTCCTTTCTCTTTCGTTACACAGGCAAAGTTCTTTCTGGGAAGCACTTCATCACCAGGCTTCTTACGTTGGCTTGCGCTAAGTCGGGGTCTTTAAAACTCAAGCGGGCTTCTGTGGAGACTCTTTGTGCCTTGATTACTCGATCGGCCGAGAACCAGAAGTTTCTGATACTTCACGTGACTGGATGGTGAGTTCGGCTATGCATTCCAGTTTACGTTTCTAACGTTTTCATGCAGCTACAAGCTTTTCAAGGTTTTTCTCCCGAAGTGTGGAGACTTCCAACTTCAAGCTAGTGCTGCGGAGATACTTTTTCGATTAACAAGGAGACACAAGAGGCTCCTGGATATAGTCGATGACGATGCTGCGAAGAGGGCAATGCTATCCATGCACGAGATGAAAAGGCCAGATGTCAAGACCGGCATTAGGACCTTCGTTAACTTGGTCAATGAGTCCCTGGGAGCATCGAGAAGGTGAGAGCAGAGTGCTGACTTTCTGACTCACTGTGCGGATTTTTCTATGCTGTAGCGTTCATTCCTTTCGAGCCTTACAAGTTTTCATCGATGGCAACGAACATACTCCTCACGAAGAAGTATGGGTGCATATCGGAGTGGATCATATCAGCTACTACACAAACTCACCAAGCAAAGTAAGAGAGTGCAATTACAATCAAAGTTGTTTCTGAGGTCAAACTTAACAGGAGTTTGAAGGCGCTGCAGAGATAATGGATTTTGATTTTAAGAATATCAAAGAGATCAAAGGTGAGTTACACTCACAAGTACGGCTAAGCTAGCTATGATGATTTAGTGCTCTCCTCGTCATCTTTGGAGCTCGTTATTTGGAAGCCTCAGGACGATGCTGCCGTTCCAACAAGAACTATAGCACGCTTTCGATTTTCTTCAGAAGGTATGCGTTGGTTTATCGAATGAGCGGTTCTAAAGTCTTTTGCCTGGATGAAGATGCAAGGCTCGCTTATGAGTGCTGCAGGGGAAGGCTGTCCTCGCTAAATGCAACAGTTCCACCATCAAGTAGTCAGATTCCTTGGACGGGCAAGACATCAATAGGAATTGCGGTGCCTCTGCCAAGAATTACAGACTTCCCAATCATGCCCGGTTGCGCAGACGACAGAACTACAAGAGGTAGCGGTTTTCTCCGAGAAAGGTTTTCTTCTAAATTCTCAAGTTTCTATTTGTAGATGTGCTTGTACCAACGACTATCGACAACGTAGTACCAGGGCTTGATACGGACACTAAAGGTAGAGGTCTTTTGTAATATCCCTGTTTGGTGCCAGCGGCTGTTGACTTACCCTTAGACAACGTGAAAGTTCCGCATTCGCCGGAGGTACCCTCTCATTCAATTCCCGATGTAGCAGAGGTTGAGGAAAAAGAAAACGTTGGCCACCTTCGTAGCAAGTTGAAGGCTATGCTTGATGGACCAACAAAGAAAGCGATCGAGAAACTCAAGGTCATCCAAGGTATCAAAGAAGTTCTGTAATACATTGGTAATTCTGTTTTTTCTTGTGGCAGAGAGAAGTCCCAGCGTGCAAAGGCAGATCCAGGCCCCGATTCACACTAGAGCACGAGGTACTACGATGCCAGCTTATTATCATTCTTTAACAGCACTATTTGCAGGTCGGCCGAGAAAGAAAGCGGCGCCTAAAACACAGAAGCCAGGTAGGCGAATCAGGTACCTATTGATAGTGCTGAATGCTTTACATTGCAGAGGAAAAGGTTTTATGTGCAGTCGAGCTATCAGAAAATGACAAACCCGCCAAGCTGTTTCGTGAGAGGAAGCTTCCTCCAAGACCAACCAAAGAGGCTGCAGCACCACTTAAGCCATTGTTTAGCGCCACGAAAGAGATGATAGCAGAAGGTAACCTCTGATTATTATTCTTGACTTCTTGTTAAGGTTTCATGTGCAGTCGAGCTATCAGAAGACGACAAACCCGCCAAGCTGTTTCGTGAGAGGGAGCTTCTTCCAGCACCAAACAATGACGCTGCACCACCACTGGAATTTGGCAACCCATTGGTTAGCGCCACGAAAGGGATTATAGCAGAAGGTAACCTCTGATTATTATCCTCGATTTGTCGCTAAGGTTTTATGTTCAGAATATGACAAACCCGCCAAGCTGTTTCGTGAAAGGGAGCTTCCTCCAGCACCAACCAATGACGCTGCACCACTTGAATTTGGCAAGCCATTGTTTAGCGCCACGAAAGAGATGGTAGTAGAAGGTAACCTCGGAGTACTTGTCTTTAAGATCGCTAAGGTTTTATGTGCAGTCGATCTCTCAGAAAATGACAGACCCGCCAAGCTGTTTCGTGAGAGGCCAGCACCAAGCAATGACGCTGCACCACCACTTGAATTTGGCAAGCCATTGATTAGCGCCACGAAAGAGATGGTCGTAGAAGGTAATCTTGGAGTACTTGTCTTTAAGATCGCTAAGGTTTAATGTGCAGTCGAGCTCTCAGAAAATGACAGACCCGCCAAGCTGTTCCGTGAGAGGGAGCTTCCTCCAGCACCAAGCAATGACGCTGCACCACCAGTTGAATTTGGCAAGCCATTGTTTAGCGCCACGAAAGAGATGACAGAGATCAAGACCCGGCGGCGCAGGCGGTATACACTTGCAGAGTTGACAAGCGGCATAGAACACGTGAATTTGGCTTCAGAAACAAAGCGTCCAAAATTTGAGAAGGACAACAGTGTTACTCCAGAGTCTCCAATTTGCGATCCCTGCGATGATGATGACATGGATCGGTAAAAATTCTTTGCACCTCAGGATTTGTACTGATCGAAACTTCTTTCAGGGTCGTTGTGCTCTTTGCGAACATGCTGAACAAGTTCAAGAAGAAGTTGCAGTCTCGAGTTCGTGATAAAACTGCTCATATAATAACTTCCACCTCGGAGGCGATCAAATCGGAGGCAGCCTCTGTTGAGTTACAGATTAAGAAGGGCACGTACGTAAGCTCTTTATTTGTTGTTGGTAAGGTTGTGTAACTCCTTTAAACTACAGGGATGATTATGCTCAACAATGTAGAGACAAGCTTGGTCGGATAGAACTGGACCTGCATGGTATGTTAATGTGGAGCAAACCTGGTTTAGGCTCGCTTCTGATATCATTTACAGAGAAAGCCAAGAGCTTCAAGAAGCTCTGTGAAGATTTTGACAACTTGTTCAAGCACCACAGCGAACAATTAGAGCAAATCCAGACTCAGATGGAATGTACTGACGACGAACTCAACGCCTTGTCGGAAAAACGAAGTAGGCTCTTTCCCTCTGTTGCTTGTTTTTACTAAACGAGTGTTTTCTTGAATCAGAGCTAACACAGAGAAAATTGATTGCGCAAATGCAAATGAGGGGCGAAGAACTTCTCAGCGAAGCAGAATCCAAGATTCTTGCCGTCCAAAAGGTTGGTTGAATGTAGTCGGTTTTAAAACTGCAAGTGTATTAACACTGCTCACAGGCTGCCAAGCACATGCAGGGCTTCAAGCAAATACTCCAGCAACTGGTAATGGACACTGTAGAGTTATAAATTGCGGGGTCGTTTAGCATCCGTTAATAAGAATGACATCGTTTGCCCAACAACAAAGAGAAAAAGAAAAAAAAAATTGTAGTGTACTTGAAAATCTTCTTCTGAGTGTACAAGAAAAACTCACTTGATAATCTTCTAGAGTTCATGTAAGACCCTGGCAATTGACTTTCAAAGCTCAAATTTGGCAACCCAAACCATACTTCATCATATTAATTAAATGTAATAATCCTATACTCATCTAACCACTCTTTGTCATATCTACATCTAAATTGTTGGATTCCTCACCATGAGATCATACATTACCTAGTTGAAAGACAAACCATCAATGCACCAGAATTGCTGACAACTTTCTATTAAAAACCTACTGAGCAAACTAAGGGTGAAAACTTGAGTCGAGTGCAAAGAATTTTCTATCTGCACTGTGGATTGTCAATTAATAATTGAAAATATTTTTTCTTTTAATATATTTCTTTCTTAATCTTTTCAAACACTACCAATTGTCATATTTATATTGCATTTATTTGCAAAATTCAAGATTTGCGTTTTCAACTTTTTTTAATAGAAGCTAGAACTTCTCGGAATTTTTCTTCAGTTCATGGCACGCTTTCTTGAGCAGGGCAAGGTCACGGGCAGTAGCTTCATACCACTCTTGAGACAAAACCTGCGTAACTCGGGCTCTGCCAAATCCAACCAGCTTAACACGGAGCTTCCCAGCCTCGTCCACTTTGCTCACAACCTTGGACGTGTTCATGTCGTAGATGGCAATCCCCCGCTTGTGAATCTCGCGCAAGCACTCCATCGCCTGTCTCAGAGTCTCCTCCTGGTCGCTGAAAATGGCCTTGGAAGGATTGGACCACTGCTCCAGCTCGCTGATGCCACCGTCGCTCATCATAACGAAGACGAACATCGCCCCCTTGAGGAACCCCCACGACAGAAGCTTGGGAACCGCAGACCCCTGTATGTGCCTGAGCTTCATGTAGCAATCCACCTCCAGGGCAAGCCTGGACAGAGCGAGATTGGTACCGGCCCTGAACTGACTCGTCAAGTCCCTGATCTTCACCACCACGTCCTGTCCAGCGTACTTTGCTCGAACGGCCACCACCGTGCGGTTAGTGTTCCCACAGCGATGCAGCGGCAGCGTCTCCACGTCGCTCAGATCCTCGAACTTGAATCCGTCGTCCGTGACTGCCTTGTCGACGATCTTGCGTGGATCGATGTTGCTCTGCTTGCACACGTGCCCCAGGATCTCCAGGACTGGAGAGTAGTCGAGCTTAGGCAGCAAGCTCCTCACTTCCGGCGTCAGCAGTGGCAGTCCATGCAAGCTCCTCGCCACCTCCATCGCGAAGCCGAACGCCATGAGCGGATTATCCACGCGCGGCGAGACCAGGAGCTCATCCGCGGCAGCTCGATAGCACGGCCACGACGAGCTGAGATTCGTGAGCACCCCGACGCGAGCTCCCGTTATCTCCATGTAGTTGACGAGCCGGTCTTGCACGAGCTCCAGCTTCTCGGGCAGGTTGAAGAAGTCGAGCAGGAAGAGCACCACCGGAGCGTCCAAGCCATGGCGAAACAGACATCCTTCCGGCCTCGCGATGGTGCCCGATTGGAGGGATCCAAAGCTTTCGCCTTCACCGCAGAAAACTTTTACCATGTAGAAGAGGTAGTTCCAGCCATAGATCCTAAAGAACGAGCCGGTGGGATCGGATTGATCGGGCAGCTGCTCAAACCACGAATCCATGACCGCTGGGATGTCCCAGCTCCTCACACTATAGCCGCCGCGATGCATCAACTCGCCAAGCGGTGCTAGCACCTCATTAACCAACCTCTTCTTGACAGCATCAGGGACTTCGGGATAGGGCATCTTCATGGTCTGCTTGAGAGTTGCCACCGGAAGCTGCTTATGGAAGGTAGTATGCGGATCCTCCATTCTCTCAAGAACCCTAAAAATGTATCCAAGGTGGCAATGTAAAAGGAATCTTACTTTCTCACTTATCATAAACCCTAAATTCTGCCCTAGCGCTGCGCGGCACAAATTCGTCCTCCTGGCACTCACGATTCATCGCCTACAGTGATTCCTCCTTTCGATCGCGATGGGCATCATCGAGAAAATCAAAGAGATCGAGGCCGAGATGGCCAGGACGCAGAAGAACAAGGCCACAGGTACCGCATTCTAGTGAAATTTCTCTTATGTTTGAATTTCTCCAGAGTATCACTTGGGGCAGCTCAAGGCCAAGCTTGCGAAGCTGAGGACTCAGCTCCTGGAGCCTCCAAAGGGATCCAGCGCTGGCGGCGATGGATTTGAAGTCACGAAATTTGGCCATGGTCGCGTTGCTCTCATTGGCTTTCCAAGGTGAAAAAATCTCTTTTTTCTTTCCTTGAGTCGAGTTTTCTTCTTTCTCCTTGCAGTGTTGGAAAATCGACGCTGCTAACAATGCTTACTGGGACACACTCCGAAGCAGCATCTTACGAGTTCACGACACTGACGTGCATTCCTGGAATCATTTTGTACAACGATGCAAAGATCCAACTTTTGGATCTTCCGGGGATTATCGAAGGTGCTTCTGAAGGGAAAGGCCGTGGGCGTCAGGTGATCTTCGTTTTTTAGAGAAAAGTTCCACAGCTGCTAACGTCCATACTTGCAGGTTATCGCTGTTGCTAAGTCCTCTGATCTGGTTTTGATGGTCTTGGACGCTTCAAAGGTAAACTGCCATGTCTGATTCAAGTTTCTTTACTCTGAAAATGCTTCACAGAGTGAAGGGCATAGACAAATTCTCACGAGGGAGCTAGAGGCTGTTGGTCTGCGTTTAAACAAAAGACCTCCTTTGGTAAGTTTGCAGTACCGTGCAGTCTCTTGTGTTCATTGTGTTTTTCATGTGGTAGATTTATTTCAAAAGGAAAAAAACCGGAGGAATTGCTTTCAACACAACTGTGCCTTTATCTCATATTGACGAGAAGCTCTGCTACCAGATACTCCACGAGTATAAGATTCATAACGCTGAGGTATGTTTGTGGCTTTCAAACCGATAACATCTTCCATTTTCTCTTCCTCATCAGGTTTTGTTCCGGGAGGACGCGACGGTGGATGACTTCATCGACGTTATAGAGGGAAACAGGAAATATATCAAATGCGTCTATGTCTACAACAAAATCGACGTTGTTGGCATTGACGATGTGGATCGATTGTCCAGAAAGCCAAACTCCATCGTCATCAGCTGCAACTTGAAGGTGAGAGAAGTGAAAGTTTTAGTTTTTTCTTTCCCTGGACGAGCTTAACTTCCACTCCTACAGCTAAACCTGGATCGACTACTCGCAAAAATGTGGGAGGCCATGGGTCTTGTAAGAGTTTATACGAAGCCTCAAGGTCAGCAACCAGATTTCTCGGAGCCCGTTGTGTTGTCAACGGTAAGTCCATGAGTTATTCGCCGACGTTTCAGCGATCTTATGGGCCTGCAGGATCGAGGCGGTTGCTGTGTGGAAGATTTTTGCAACCATATCCATCGCAGCTTACTCAAAGACGTGAAGTATGTGCTCGTGTGGGGGACAAGCGCCAAGCATTATCCACAGCGCTGTGGAGTGACGCATGTCCTCCAAGACGAAGACGTTGTCCAGATAGTGAAGAAAAAGGTGAGCTTTGCTCTCTTTATGTCTTTCGAGTTGGCTAAGCTCCCGGTTTTTAAGCAGGAGACCGAGGAAGATGGAGCCAGGGGGAGATTTAAATCGCATTCCAATGCACCGGCGAGAATTTCCGACAGAGAAAAGAAAGCACCATTGAAAAACTAGCCTTTCTATGCATTAGCCAGAGGTAGCTAGTCTTTTTCACACTATCGGATTTCGCTGACCAGACTCACTCCCAGGTCCCTGCAAAGAGGTTTTTTGACGCTCTTCTCCACCAGAAAGATGACATGCTTCATGAAATGAGTCTTCACGAAGCACTGGAAGCAGTGGTCGGTCTTGATGGAGTGACAATTCTGGCACTGGGAAGGCCGCACAGTCTCGTACAAGCACAAAACTCCAACTTGGTTCCTCGCTGGCCACATGATAAAGTCCCACTCATCACCAACAGCGTAAACTTTCCTCTCCTTGGCAGCTCCCAGATCCAGCGATCTTCTCTCGAGAACTCTGGCCATGGGAGGCGCGCTGAAGCTCACGACTGGAATGACGTTGCCGCTGGCGGAGAAGTGAGCCGAGACGAGAATCGCGAGAGCGGCTCCCAGGCTGTGTCCCGTGAGAAGAACTGGTGCTCCAGGATTGGCATCCAAGACTTTGCGGGTGTAGCTCACTGCCTGGGAGAAGTAGTCGAGAGTTTCGCTGGAGAAGTCGTCGCAACTGGTGTCGAGGAGGCTGTCATTGAAGAGAACTTTATCAGCGCACAGATCTGCTCGGCTCGAGAGGTCCGTTCCTCGGAAGGCAACGATGAGAGCTCCACCACTGCTGTTCTTCTTCTGGTAGACGAGAGCGTGAGCACCGAAGCTTGGAGCGAGCGGCTCCACAGTGGGAGCTGGGATCCATCCAGCGAGGGGCTTGAGCATTGGATACCTGTAAGTGTTGGCTGCTACCTGGACGATGGGAGACACGAATTCCTTGAACTTGGAAGCGTCCAGATCCTCGAGGCTGCTAACTTGGTCCCATTCGCCGCCACCAGCATCGACTGAAACGAAGAACAGGACGCACAAAACTAGCGTTAAACTCATGCCGCAAAAGAGAGAAGAAAAAATAAAGACAGAAAAGCTTCAAAAAGAGAGAAACTTCAAACACGAAGACGCACAAAACTAGCGTTTAAAGAGAGAGAAGAAAAAATAAAGATCAAAGCTTAATCGACTCCACTGGGGATCGAACCCAGAATCTCTGGTTCCGTAGACCAGCGCCTTATCCATTGGGCCATGGAGTCGCACGATGTTAGCAAACGCGTCGAGAATCTATGCTTGGACAAAGCATTCGCGCTTTGATGCAAAAGGACACTTAAGTTGCCACCGGAGATACATTTTTTAGCGCCTCCAAAACGCTCTCAACCCAGCTGCGAAAGCAAATTTCTGAGAACTCCTGAAGAAAAGAAAGGAAGAGAGAGAGAGAGAGAGAGAGAGAGAGAAAGAAGAAAAAAAAAACAGAAAAAAGGGGCCAACTTACCCGTCAATTCCAGGATTGTGAGCGTAGAAAATTTTTTCCATGCCGGCTTTCCTTGCAGCAGCGGCAGACGTGCCTCCAATACAAGCCGCCGCTCCATTCCAGTCGTGTGTTTTCGCAACGAGCTCCATCCACGCCCTGTTTGACAAACACTTTTTTTTGAGCTTTGGAGTTTTCTAGTTTGGCTTACTTGACAGCGGTGGGAGAAGCAAAGGCTACGACGGAGGCCCGTAGTGCCATTTGGACATCACTCTCTGGAAGGACTTTCACAGATTCCTGGCATAGACAAGTGATAAGAAATAGAAACGAGAAGACAAATAAAATGCAAGCTTACAGTGGAGTACGTGTTGAGCCGGCACACCTTGAAACCGCGGTGAGATAGTCCATTTGCTGGAAGACAAAGATACAGTGACGAATAAAGATCGAGAAAGATTTTCTCGTTTTACCAAGATCGTCACTGGCTTTTAGTGATGCTGGATAGAGAACTTCCAAGGACTGGCCGCCGTCCGGCTTTGGGAGCTCCTCCGCGAGAACTTTAGCGGTTGCTGGAGGATTGGAAAAGAGTCAAGATTCTGGAAGAGCTTCTTAGATGTCATTAACATTCTCTGCTTCGCTTCTAGAATACCTTGGGAGGAGACGAATCCAACTTCAAAGTTTGGCTGACTGACTGTGTCACGGAACGCTTGCTTGGTGCCGTCACCAACAACCGCCACTTTGACTTTGGGACAGCCTGCGTTCCTGTTTGGCCACAAAACAAATACGTGAATAAAAAAACTCAAATCGAAAAAAAAAGAGAGGAACAAGAACAAGAACAAGAAGAGCTTTCGCTGATGATTTACTTCCATTCATTTGCAAAGACAGCAGCAGCCTCTGGTGATGTCACCACAATCCATTGGAAAGATCGTTCTAAGTTGTCATACAATTTTGTTTCGTTAAAAGGAAAACTCGGAGAGATATCTCACCTTGCAATGTCAGTGCCAATCGATGTAAATCAGGACCGGGAGTGTGTTCTATCAAAGGGAGCTCCAAACATTCTATTTGGTGATTACGCTGATAAAGAAAAAAAAAAGAAATCAAAGAGAACGTTTGGTGTGATGCGTCAAACAAACCACACCCAATAAATCTCCTCCTCTCGCTCCAAATTCTCTCATAAGCACAGAAACAAAGAAGAACTCACCAGTGCTTTGATAAGCTTGTCATTCTTGCCGCGCTCCCGGGTGACAACCACGGAATTCCGCCGCTGGCAGCAAATCGTGACCCGGGACGAAAATGCCGGCGTGGAGCACAACACTACCGCTGTCTGAGCTGCAAAATTTGATACTCTCAGCCCGATTCCCAGGAGATCAAGGTAGATCTCACCTCCGAACGCGAGCGCCATAGCCACCAGATCACGAAACCCTAAAGAGAAAGCCCATACGTTACGGAAAAAAAAGAAAAGAATGCAAACTGGGCTCCAAGTCAGTAAAGGTGGTAGAGTTGTTCTCCCTTGGAGCAGTCTTTGGCATAGTTGATCTCTCATGGTGAAGACTGCGTTGGAGGTGTTGATCATCTCCACTGCCATGGTGCCAATTTCAGTGACATTTTTTGATCCAGTTGAAGTCTAGTTGAAGAACATTTGGTCGCCCATGTACATCACTTCACTGCTGTGATGATACGAGCATTCATTCTGCCATCTCTCTGACTGTAAGAGGTGCGATTCTACCCAGGGCTAATACTGCTCCACTGTTGCGGTTTGTGCATTTGGTGGGAGCCCTTAAGCTGCAGCATCAGCCCAGGGTGGAAGTGCACCTCTCACAGTCACAGAGATAGCAGAATGAATGCTCAGATCGTCACAACAATGAAGTGATGTACTCGAGATGTTGCAAAAAGAGAGGCAATGCTGAGTCAGATCCAGCGCTGGAAAGTTGCTAGAGTACTGTGATCGAAGCTCTTGGAAGCTCCTGGTGCGAGATCCACTTGTAAGTGTCCGCGACATGAACACGTCCGAAGTTGTGAGCAAAGTCGACGGGGTTGGGAAGCTCCGTGTCTGTCAGTGGATCCATGGAGACGGCCAAACCGCCAGCTTTTCTTGCGGCATTGACTGGAACCTGCCCAGCAGAAAAAGAGAGGGCGCCACTTTGACGCATTCAATCGACACGCTGCGTTAGCTGGAACGTTAAAACGTTGCTGCTCCATTCCTTTAACTCTCCCCTGTAGAACCGCCGGGATTGCTACTCTTCGCTTGCTCGATTGAATCTCTAGCGCGTTGAATTTGTCCCTGCGACTTTCACTTTGGTGTGAGATTGCGACTGCTTCAATTCAATCCCCTCTTTCAAACGCGAGAATCTTTGTTTTTATTTAAGGGATCGCGCTATAAAGTTTAGTTATCGCTAGAAGAATTGAATGACTCGCGCGCTCAATCGCAAGCCTACAAGTCTACAAGAAATTTCTCTGTGCTTTGGAGTGGATTGGAATCAACCGGATCAGCTCTTTGCTTCTCGAATCCATCGAGAAAGAATAGTTTTTCCAATTTCGCTGCTAGATAAGAGAAATCCCCCTTTTCTCTATCGAGGGACCAGGAAATGGATCAAGGCGACGACCACAGTGATGGCAAGAGCTCCACCGGGAGGTCCCCCAGCAGCTGGAGATCAGTGCTAGCATCGCTCAAGAAGCATCTCCAATTCCTCTCGCCCATCCGCTGCCTGGCCATGACTCGCGATTCCTACGTCCGAGGGATGAATAGCTTCGCGGCTAGCAGCGGCGGCATGATGATCCAGGGGCCTCACATTGGCGCGCTCTCCAGGAACGCCAGCCGATCGGCGAGCGAGGACGAGGACGATCTCTACCAGTTGATCCGGGCGGCGAGCATGAGAAAGAGTCGCAGTAGCGGTCTTCACGGATCTGGGGAGAATTTGGGGCCGGCGACGCTGCCGAGGAGCGCCAGCGTCCAAGAACAGGGGATTAAATTCGCGCACCGCGGCAAGATCGTCCCCCGGAGCGTGAGCCACAGTGCGATGAGCAGATTTCCACGAACAGTGCTGGAATCCACTCAAGAAGAATAGGATCATCATGGATCGCGAAAGAATCTCTCGAGTGCTCCAGGAAATCGTTGTTTCCTCAATTTAAATTGTAATTCACTTATTTCCACGGAAAAAGATCCGGTTCCAGGATCTTGGGCTGCGTTCTTTTCAGCTTTTCCTTTGCCGATCAAGCAATCGGGAAGAAGTCCAGAGAAGCTGGCAAAGGATTTTGATGAGCTCAAGCTGATGGTAACGCAAGATCCAAAGCTCCGCAAAAATCGCACACGACAGCTAGAGCTAGAGAACTCTTCTAGATTCTCTCTTATCACATACTTTCGGTCAAGTCAAACTGTTCTGGTCAACGGTATCATTGACTGACCCATTCTTGCAAAAATGACAAGAAGCCCTAATCTTTGAGCGATGGAGGCGGCAGCCGCGATCGATGAGGAGCACGAGGTGTATGGTGCCGAGATCCCTGACGAGGTCGAGGAGGAAGCGCACGAAAAGGCCGAAGGGCCCGCCAGAGACGATGGATCTGCCAAGGTTTTTCTCTTCTTAAATTCCTCTTCTCGATCTGCGAGCTTTCTTGGAGTTTAAGGAGCTCGAGGACATGAAGAAGAGGCTGAAAGAAATGGAGGACGAAGCAGCGGCTCTGCGAGACATGCAAGCCAAGGTCGAGAAAGAAATGGGTGCTGGCCAAGGTAAGAATCAATCTCTTCTCATTAGAAAAAATCATACCATACAGAGATCTTGACAGGAGTTCCTTCTCTCTCTCTCTCTCTCTCTCTCTCTCTCTATTTTTCTTGTTTTGCAGATGCTAATGCGGCCTCTCAAGCAGGAAAAGAGGAAGCTGATGCTCGCTCCGTCTACGTTGGCAATGTAAGTCTCTCGCCCTTCACGTTGAGTTTCTTTCGATCTTTACTTATCTTCCTGTTTCCTTTGGAAAAAAAAGAGAGAAAAAATATATCAGCTTTGCTTGTTACTCAGGTGGATTACTCGTGCACTCCCGAAGAAGTCCAGCAGCATTTCCAATCTTGTGGAACTGTGAACCGGGTGACGATTCTCACAGACAAGTTTGGACAACCGAAGGGGTACTTTGCAAACTTTTGTGATAATCTTGAGTTGAGGCCTTGTGTTTTCCTGTCAGATACGCGTATGTTGAGTTTCTCGAAGGAGAAGCCGTCCAAAATGCGATTTTGCTGAATGAATCGGAGCTCCATGGACGTCCATTAAAGGTATATAAGGTTTCCTCCAAAGTTGAATTTGGATTCTGTAAATTTTTGTATCAGGTGTCTGCGAAGAGAACCAATGTTCCCGGGATGAAACAATACCGGGGGAGGAGATTTGATCCATCCTACGCTTACATGACACGGAGAGCGTACATGCCACCTTATGCCTACGCTCCTTACGGATTCGGGTAAAGAATCGAGAGCAAAGCTCCTTTCCGGAATTTGTCTCTGGCTCACGCGTGGGTGTACATTCTTCTGCCAGGAAAATTCCGAGGTTCCGAAGGGCAATGCGATACAGGCCTTACTTCTGACTGTTGCCCGGAATATATGCTCGATTGGATCGTATCTATTGGGATTCAAGCAAAAGAGCCCAAAAAAGAATGGAAAAGAGCAAGATACTCGCCTTTTCTCGAAGGAGAGAGATCATCACGAATCGGGAGAAGAAGCGCAAGAAGATTGTGCAGAAAGATTGTGCAGAGCTTCGCTTTTCTGTCTGCGTTTTGAGAGCCATAGTGCGTCATTCTTTTTCAGTGCCTGGAACTAGAATCCTTGCTAAGGCAGTTTAATTTATTAATAATCAACCTTTCTGTCTGTGATGTAGTGGCTAAAGCTATAGTGTGTTACTTCATTTTTAAGTTGGAGTTCACTGAAAGAACGAATGCAAAGCTTTTCTTTAAGAAATATAAGATTCGACACCCGTGGTTGACGTTGTTACACAAAGAGACAATGTTTTTTTGTTGTTTGGGACTTGTTCTCCACTTATAGATATTTTTATCACTTGATAAGTGCTAGCAGGATCCCCCTTTTCTCTTTGCAACACAGGATATATTATACCAAAGGCAAAAAGAGAGAGATTTAGCCGATCATCGTGTTATCTGGGAGATTTTGGCCAAATTTTCTTAAAGAAAAGAGAGAAAGATTTGAGAGGAGCTCCACTACACCAATTGCGGCCCTCTGAAACTCAATCATTCCGCATTGTGCTCTGTGACCACCAGCATTTCATTTCATAGCATTTCCGGAGTTTGAGATTTGCAGCTCCCCACAAGATTACAAAGCCCACCCACACACACAGACACAGACACACACATAGCTTTCGAAAAAACTCAAGTGCCCTCGATACGATCGTGAGATCTGGCAAGTCTTGCCAGCAAAACTGTGGGAGGTCGTAAACAAGGCATCAACCGAAATGATCCTGGCATGAACCTTGGGAACTTCCGCACGAACTCATGACCTCAAACTTATCACGGTGCATGCGCCCTGTATCAATGATACCCATATATACAATTAAGTACGCATACGCAAAACAGAAAAGTTTAGGTAAAGGCTGGACAAAAGTAAAGCGGAGGTCAACCAGCTTTTGTGCCAATTGATCGATCGCGGATACATACACTGCATGGAAGTCGATTCCAACACGCTGCTTTTTTGGGTGGCGCAGCACTAATGTGCTCGAGCACGAGCGAGGAGGACATTTAGGACAGACAAAGAACTTACGTGACAAAAAAGAAAGCGAGAAAAAGCTCTTTCGTGCTTCCTTGGAGACAACCAAAAGGAAAGGAAAAAGAAAGTTAGGGCTCATCCACAGGGACCGCCACAAACCCTAGAGAATAGAGAATATGCCCCCTCATCTTCCAATAGAGAAATTCGCTTCCATTATCAACCCCAAAGAATGTCAACTATGGGGGCAAGTAAATAAGAGAGGAGATCGATCATATCATAGTGTTTGATTATTTTTTTGTATGCCCCACGCTTAACTGTCTGGCTCCTCCACGTCATGCTCCCATGACCTCGCGTGCTAGCAATCACCATAATGCGGCGCATGCTCCCATTCGCCCTTCCACGTGGCCGACGTCCCGGTGTTCCTGGCGGCCAGGATGGTGCCACGTGGACACCGCGCGGATGCTGGCCACGTGGATTGGGCTCTAGCACGCGCGATCGCTTATTCCCGATATATAGCCCTCTTTTTTGCGCTTTGAAACCAGGGTTTCACAGCGATAACGTGTTTTTTTATTTTGTCTCGAGCGAGCGAGCGATCGATCGATCGATCGGCGTCGAGTGAGCTCTTCTTTTTCTTGCGGATCATCTGCTCGGAGCTCGCGCACCGCAAAATCTTGTGTTGGCATCGCACTGTCGCCGTGTGCGAGCTTTTTCTTCGCTCGATTCTTCGCCTTCTCCACTCGCGGCGCGGGGCGGCGACGTGGGATCTTTGCCAAGGTTTTGTCATTGGAAATGTGAAGCGAGGATCGATCTCTCACGGGCAAATGCCTTTTGGCCGCATTTTGGTTCTTGACAGGAAAGGCGATATGGGGGAAGTTCACGTCAATGGCACAGCCAAGCTGAATTCCAAAGCGAATTCCAACGGGATCGCGGCGCTGGGCAGCAACAATCACCGTGGCCTCTGGTTCGAGGAGGAAATCGAGGATGATCTGCGCTGGGTGTTTAGCGTCTCTAGGCAAGTCGAGAAGAAAATCCGTTCCTCCTTTGTTTTCGGTCGTTGTTTATAACTCCACGCTACTTTCCAGGGTCCTCCACACCGGCATTAGCGAGTTCCAGGACATCGCCTTGGTCGAAAGTGGTCCCTTCGGCAAGGTTTATAGTTTTTCTTTGATCAAGGATCATAGAACTTAAGTTCTATGATCTTAAGAACTTCCATGTAAGAGCTAAGTGAATCATGGACCATTCTTGCAGGTGTTGATCCTCGATGGAAAGCTCCAAAGTGCCGAGGCCGACGAGTTCGTCTACCATGAGTGCCTCGTCCACCCTGCATTGCTCTATCACCCCAAGTAACTCATCTCACAGATACCTCTCGCTCTTTCTCTTTTTTTCTCTTGCTATCTCGGCTAAGTTTCGATCTCTCTTGGTGCTCCAGCCCCAGGAATGTCTTCATAATGGGGGGTGGCGAGGGGTCCACTGCTCGCGAGGCACTCAGGCACAAGAGTGTCAAGAAAGTTGTCATGTGTGACATAGATAAGGTACGTATTTTGCTCACTTTACAAAAGCTCTCGTTCCGTTCTTTTTGGTTTTCTAAGCGGAACCCTTTGTTTTTCGCCGCACAGGAAGTTGTGGAGTTTTGCAGAGCACATCTCACCATGAACCACGAAGCATTTCACAGCAGCAGGCTGGATCTTGTCATTAACGATGCAAGGTTCAGTGCCAGAAGAAAGTTGTCGCTGGAACATAAATCCTGATAAGTTTATGTTCTTGCAGAGCCGAGCTGGAAGAAAGGCAGGACAAGTTTGACATTATCATTGGCGATCTTGCCGACCCGGTTGAAGGTGGCCCCTGTTACAAGCTCTACACTCAGTCCTTCTACGAGCGGGTTGTAAAACCCAGGCTTAATGCCGGTGGCATTCTGGTCACCCAGGTGAGCTTTGGATTTTTTTCGCGATGAAAATCGTCACTTTCAAATGCAGGGAGGCCCTGCTGGTATTCTAACGCATTCGGAAGTCTACTCGTCCATTTTCAACACTCTGCGCCAAGTTTTCAAGTGTAAGCTTTTCTTTTGTTCTATTCGTATGTAATCTTTCCAGGAGCGTTTTGACTTAAAAGAGTTCGCGTGTGACAGACGTCGTCCCTTACGCAGCTCATATCCCATCCTATTCCGATTCATGGGGCTGGATCATGGTAGGGCCATTTCGATCCGAAGTTCTCAGATCTGATTCGCTTTTCCTTTCGTTTGTCAAAGGCCTCGGATCATCCCTTCGCCCAAGTCAGCGTTCAAGAGACGGACTTGAGGATCAAACAAAGGTTTGATAGCGAGCTCCGGTTCTTGGACGGGGAGACACTGAGCGCAACTCTGGCTCTCAACAAGCACGTCCGGCAAACGTGAGTGCTTTCACTTTGTTGTTTTTTTTGTTTTAGCTTCTCGATTTCTCATTGTTTTGTGCAGCTTGGCCGGAGAGACGCATGTCTACACTGAAGAGAGCGCACGATTCGTGCACGGGCATGGAGCAGCGCAGAGCGCGCAATCCTGATTTAATATCCGGGATTTTGTATCGGCTCATATGTACATTATAAGTCGAATGAATGGACTTTTATAACTTGCAAGATATTGACCATGGTAGACTATAAGAATCTTTTGACCATTGGACCGAATATACCAGCTAAAACCCTCGAGGTTTTTAGGCATATTTAAACGCCTGGCTATGGCGGCGTTAGACAGTAGTTGCGTGTTTGGTGCGTGCTAGGCTAGGGTTCTTCATTCGTTCTTTGGGAGGAGGGAGCCTAGGGCGTGCTTCTTGCGTCTGGCGGCCGCATTCTTGCCGCGCTCTTCTTGGATTCTCGGCTTGGATTTTTGGAGCGCATCAAAGTGGCGGGCGGCGGCGGCGGCGGTATGGCTGCGAAAGAGGATCATCAGCACCTTGTTCACGATCAGCTGCCAGATATCGACTACTGCCCCAACGATAGCCCCGGCATCGGTAATCTTTGCTTGGGGATTCCTTTTTCTCTTGTTTCTTCCAGGGATTAACGAGCTTGTTCTTCTTGCTTCTGTCTTGTTGCATCGCAGCCGAGGCCGTTCTCTTGGGATTCCAGCATTTTGTCACTATGATCGGGACAACCGTGCTCATTCCCAGCTTGTTTGTATACGAAATGGGGGGAAACACGGTAATCGAACAGTGCTTTCCTTTGTTTTTTCTCTTTTTTATGATTCTTCCACTCATGCTCGCTTCTCTCGCAGGAGCAGCTCATTCGAGTGATTCAAACGCTCCTCTTTGTGAATGGAGTTATGACTCTCGTGCAAAGCTTCTTTGGCACGAGGCTGCCAATTGTTATGAATGCGTCCTTCTCGTATGTGATACCAATATGGAGGATTGTGAACTCGCCGAGGTATCGCTCCATATTTGAGGATTACGAGGTGAGACCACCGCCTAAGAGTTTCTTTGTTTCTATCCTATCTCTCACTTTGCTTCTGTGTGTTCACAGAGGTTCTACCATACACTCCGAGCTATTCAAGGGGCTTTGATCTGCGCATCGATCATACAGATCATCCTTGGCTTCAGTGGTCTTTGGGCAGTTTTGTTGCAGTAAGTGTGATTAACTTCTGGCCTCTCGACTCCAGGGTTATGACTTGTGTGAGATCTTGCTTGACAGCTACCTTTCACCTCTTTCTGTTGCGCCAGTTATTGCTCTAGTCGGCCTCGGACTGTTCGAGTATGGGTTTCCTGGGGTCAGCAACATTGTTTCCCATAATAATCGCTAGAATAACCTGTTTGTCAGGTTGCGAGCTGTATCGAGATTGGACTTCCCGAAGTTATTCTCCTTATAATTATTTCCCAGGTTGCTTTCTAAGCTTGTTTTGGCTTCTGATGATCACTGTTCTTTTTTATGTAGTTCCTGGGGAGGCTAAGCGCTAAGAAAAAACTGCCTTTCTTTGAGCGCTTTCCAGTGCTTATAAGCGCGGCCATTATATGGGCTTATGCTCATCTACTGACCGTCAGTGGTGCATATAAACACGCGACAGAGCTTGGAAAAGATCACTGTCGAACAGACCGAGCTCACTTCGTGAAAACTGCCCCCTGGTATGATTTGAAGTTTCTGATGTTGGAGTTAAATCAAGCCTGACTTCAGGGTGCGACTTCCATTTCCTCTTGAATGGGGTGCTCCAACATTTAATGCCGGTGATGCATTCGCTTTTCTTGCATCGGCTTTTGTTTCACAAGTTGAGGTACGCTCAAAAGTGTAGATTGTAAACCTGCAACTAACGTGCTCATGGACAAACAGTCCACAGCGACAATATACGGTGTGTCAAGGCTGTCGAATGCAACTCCGCCACCGCCTTTCATCGTGGGCCGAAGTATCGGTTGGCAGGTTTGTAAAATGTTTTCCTTCATATCTTGATTATCGCGTTCTGGTTTGCAGGGTATCGGTGTTCTCTTGAATGGTCTTTTTGGAACCATCACGGGGTCCGCTGTTTCCGTGTAAGTAGAAAGCTAGAAATTTGTGAAAACGTTTTTCAACACATCTGTTGTCCTCTTCCAGGGAAAATGCTGGGCTTGTTGGTCTTACCAGAGTTGGCAGTAGGCTTACTGTTCAAATTGCAGCACTGTTTATGATAGTTTTGTCTATCTTTGGTACCTTCAGACAACCTCGCGATCTGTTACACTCATTTGTTTTTTCATGCAGGAAAATTTGGAGCTATTGTTGCTTCAATTCCCCAGCCGATCGTCGCTGCTATAAATTCTGTTCTTTACGCTGTCCTTGGTAAGCCTTACAAGTATTTCTCACAACCTTGTTTTACTTTCCTTCCTCAGCTGCCGTTGGTCTTTCATATCTTCAATTCACGAATCTAAATATCATCCGCAACTTATTCATTCTGGGCTTCACGCTTTTTATGGGGTTCTCAATTCCACAGTACTTCTACGAATTCACTATCTCCAGTGGCCACGGCCCTGTACATACTGGAGCAGGCTGGGTAAGGTTTTCATTTCTGGCTGTGTCAGAAAGCGACACTTCGCTAACTTGTCCACCGTGCAGTTCAATGATATCCTCAACACAATATTTTCATCGAATGCCATGGTGGGGTTCATCCTTGTAGTCATCCTCGACAACGCGCTCAAGACTCATAAGAAGAACAGGGGATACGGCTGGTGGAAAAAGTATCACAAGTGGAAGACGAGTGCCACCAACGAGGAGTTTTACAAGCTGCCCTTCAATCTGAACAAGTACTTCCCGCCGCCACAGGTCTAAGCAAAGGCTCAACTCAGACGCCAGCCGGAGAGACAGAAAACACAAGAACCGCATGACACTCAGACACACATACGTCTCTTTTGCGAGAAAAGCTGCCGCCTGCGATCACTTCAGTGTTCCTGGTTTCTTTCCATCCATGTACATCGAGACCTGTGCCGCTGCACCGCTGCCCCGCTGCTGGGCGACGACGAGTAGGAGGGAGGAGGAGGTAGGCATGAACTTTACATCAGCAGTCTTGCTACACAGCTAGTGTTCCGCTGCTACTAAAGCTCTTTTGTTTTGTTAACTACATTGGAGAGAAGCTGTGAACGCAGATCTGTCACTGTAGTAGCGGTTCGATAATGCTGCTGCTCTTGCAGGCAGCTGTTCCCAGATTTTGTTCCTCCTTTGGTGTTGCTGCTGGTGCTGGTGTTATCAAGGTCCACTCTCCTCTCTCTAGGTACTTATTTGCATTCCAGCATTTAGAGGATATGAGCTTTTTGCAGCAGTGGCAACTTGCTGTGTGAGCTCAGCTCACCAGCCATGTAGGTGGTAACCCTCCCCAAAGTGTGTCAGCCACCACTGCTTGCCTGCAGTCTAGGTGGATGTTGACCATAGCCAGATGCCAAACATGATGCCAGTCCTTGCTTTGTGTTGGAGCATTATGTGTTACAGCATGATTGTGTTGGTAATGTGTATGGAGGAGAGGCACAGGTTTTGGACAACTGGAGAAAAAAAAAACATTCCTTGGGTTGAGAGGGAGGCTGTATGTTTGAAGTGTCACATGGCTAGCTAACATGATCATAAAGAAAGAATCTGTGCATTTTTCTGTGGTTTGTGGCTCAAATGATGCCAGCCAGGCCCCATGTGAGCAGGGGCAGGACACCCATTTAGGCCAACAAGAAAATAAAAAAGAGATCATCACAGAGTCACATGTTTGTTTTCTTGGAGGTTTTCCTTCTCTCTCTCTCTCTCTCTGTTTTTTTTTTTCTTCTGTTTTTGTCATTGCCAGAGGCAACCCCTGGTGCCCATTGATTGATTGATTGATTTTGACGGGCCGATTGTTTTTTGGTTGATCATGGTATTCCATGGGCTACTAGGTTCAGAGAGAACTCTGCTGGACCAAGGTTTCAAGCAATGTACACTGGCTGGATCTGATCACCTAGCTATCACCTTTTGATTTTACAAGTTGGTGATGCTCTGTTACTCTGGTGTGTTTGTGTGTCTGAAAAGATGAAGGTGGTGTCTCAGCTGCCTCCCATTTCTGAAATGCTGTAGAGAGATGGCCTCCATTGCCCAGGCCTGCTGTTGAGAGGTTTGAGATCCGTGGCGGCTGCAGGTGCAGCTTGCTGCGGCTGCTGATGAAGAGAAGAAAAGTTTCTGTGAAGCTCCTTTCTAGAAAAAGATTACAAGTGGTACCTGAAGTAGTACATTGCTGAACTTGAAAGTCCGGGTTGATTCAGGGGTGACTTTGGACGCGGCAATGCTTTGCTTGATCGCATCCTTGGGGATCTTTATGTTTCCTTTGCCTTCAGTGAGATCTCCAATCACTTCTGCAAACCGATTTATAAGATCACTTGTCCCACAAACACTCTGCCTATGGTGTCATCAGAGGAGAAAACACACGAGTGTAGTTACCTTCATACGTGACAAGACGATAGCATTTCCCAATGCTCAGCATCGCTGCCGGCGGAAGCAACTTGAGCTTGGGCTTGAAAGATTGCGAGCCGGAACTGGGCGATGCCTTTGGCCACACGAACATTCCAACGTAATGACCCGGATTTTGCAGCATCAGCTGCCTCGCAGTCACACTCCAGTAGATTTTCTCGATTCGTCCTCCTGGGTACTCCACCACTGCAGCCACTGCATCCGATGCATGGCAATTCCCCATCGCCAAAACCACACCAAGAAGGAAAACAGTGGCACCGAAAGAAACGCTTTCAAGCTCTCGATCGATCTCGCCTCGAATTGCGAGAGAAACGCTCACACGCTAGCTTTTCCACACGACCTTGACGAATTCTGTGAGTTCTATCCCAATGTAAAAGGAAGAAGCTTGGGACCAAGTTGCGGAAGATCTCTTTCGCGCTACTGTTTCGTCCACTCAAGATTGTCGAGCGTCGCGAAACTAAACGATGAAACGAACTAAAGGCCCACAGATCGACAAGACAGGAAGAGAATGAGAGAGATGGAGAGACAAAGCACAGAGAGCGCAGTGCAGCCTTACAGGAGAAGAGCTCGCTTTGAGAGAAAGAAAGAAAAGAAAGACAAAAACAAAAGAAAGCAACCAAATGCTAGCCCTATGATCGATTGATGCGTGCTGTGTCGTTTTATTCCTTTGCTATTTGCCCCACTGCTCCATCTCCATCTGTTCTTCGTCGTTACAGACACACACCACCACCAAAAAACGCTCCCCTTTAAATCCCCACTTCACATCCTCTGATCGTCTGGCTGGCTTGTAACTCCGGATCCATCTTTGCTTGCTCGCTCGATTGCCTGTGTGTGAGGAAATCTCGCGGATATCAAGAACAAGAACCACAAAAGGATGAATTTTTGTTGGATCGACCGATTCGATTCTTGGGCGTAATTTGGATTGCTGGGTCGATTCGTTGGGCTGAGCGTTGATCGCTCGCACTCAATCATGCTACCGCCGACAGGCTCTGCGAGAGAATGGGTAAATGCCCGCTGCTGGGCATCTCAGGATTGGAGCGATCGAGAGAAAGAAAATGGTTTCGTGGGTCCCTTGTACCGCAACAACCCTACTACTTTCATTCATTTCGATCCACCAGCGAAGTCGCCAGTCGCCATAGCCAATGCTTCCCTCACCCCCTGCTCTTTCATTTAATGCCCAGGTGGGCGAAGAAGAAAGGTGAATATACCAGTGCACATTCCACCGCGGGGAACTATGCCAGGAATATGCCTCGTCCTGCTCGATGCGAGGGAAATTGGAGGCGGGCGTCTTGGAAGCGATCAATCGCCTGGACAATGCCGCGGCGCCCAGCTCCTCCGATCGCTACGCCTCGCTCCTCCGGCAATGTGGCAAGGCGCGGGCGCTCGCGCTGGGCCGGCGCGTCCACGCAGACATGGCGCGATGGGGCGTTGGGCAGGGCCCTTTTCTCTCGAATTTCCTCATCCAGATGTATGGAAGCTGCGGCAGCATCGAGGAGGCGTGCGCAGTGTTCGAGAGAATGCCGCACAAGGAGCCACACACCTGGAACTTCATGATCCAGGCATATGCCCAGAACGGGCATCCACAGCAGTCGTGGAAAACTTTCCATGCAATGCAAGGGCGAGGGATTGTGTCGTGGAATCTGCTTATCGCCGCGCTTATCAAGAACAATCTTGTTCACGAAGCAAGACAGACGCTTGATCGTATGCCTGTGCGGGACACTGTCTCTTGGAACGCGATTATCACCGCAAATGCCCAAAGCGGGCAAATACTTGAAGCGCGCAGGGTCTTCGACGAGACGAGGGACAGGAGCGTCGTAACTTGGAACGTGATGATTCATGCATACGCGCAAGATGGCGATTTGGATCGCGCTAGAGAGATGTTTGAATGGATGCCGGAGAAGGACGCAGCGTCATGGAATGGGCTGATCGAGGGGTACGCGCGGAGTGGCAATCTGGAGGAGGCAAGAAAAGTGTTCGACGAAATGCCGGAGAAATCGACATTGTCATGGAACACCATCATCGCGGCATACGCACAGCGGCAAGGCTACTTGGAGCAAGCCAAGGATCTCTTCGATCGAGCTCCAAATCCGGACGCTTTCACCTGGAACACGATGCTCTCGGCGTATGCCGCAAATGGCTACCTTTATGAGGCTTGTAAAATATTCGAGGGGAATCTCACGGGAGATCCGGTGTCGTGGAACGCTATGGTTGCAGCAAATGCGGAGAATGGGCATCTGGAGGAAGCATGGAGACTCTTCGTTCAGATGCCGAAACGGGACGAGGTGTCGTGGAACACCGTCGTGTCCGCCTACGGCCAGGACGAGAACATAAGTCACGCAAGAAAAATCTTCAAAAAGATGCCACAGTGGAACACTGTTTCATTCAATGGCTTCCTCCAAGGCCTGAGCCAGCAGTGTACCAAAGCAGGCGTCACAGCGATGGACGAAACGAAGGAAGTCTTCGCTGCAATGCCCCGCCGGGACGTGATCTCCTGGACGGTGTTCATGTCCGCCTTCTTCCACTCCCGTGATCCCACCCAAGCCGCCAAGATCTTCGACAAAATGCCGCTAAGAAGCTCCATAACCTTCACCGCTATGATCACCGGATATGCCCAACTCGGGCATCTGCTGCAAGCTCGCAAAACCTTCGATCAAATGCCTCTCAAGAATACCCACGCCGCCAACGCGATGCTCCAGGCCTACGCACTAAACGGCCGCATCGCCGACGCCACCGCAGTCTTCGCCACCATCCGTGATCGCGATACCTTCTCCTGGAACCTCCTCATCACCGCAAATGCCCAGGCCGGGGACGTCGCCCACGCTGAGAAGCTCTTCCACTCCATGCCCCGCCCGGACGTGGTGTCGAGGAACACCATGATCATGGCCTACTCGCAGCAGCCATCGCTTCTGGATCGAGCTCGCAGCCTCTTCGACTCCACCGCGAGCAAAAACGTCGTAACTTGGAACTGCATGCTCGCTGGGTACGTCGAGCACGACCGAGATGGCGACGCTCTTCGCCTGTTCGCGGCGATGGAGCAGCAGCAGAGCTATGGCTGCCGCCCCAACCGCGTCACCTTCGTCATCGCCCTCGACGCCTGCGCTCGTCTCGCGGCTCTTACGCAAGGCCAGAGGATCCACTCCACGCTCGCCGCCATAGACAGCGAGCTTGCATCCGACGTAGTGCTCAACACCGCTCTCATCAATCTCTACGCAAAGTGTGGCCGACTGGAGCAATCAAAATCGGTTTTTGATGCCATGGCGAGGCACGACACCGTCTCCTGGACTGCCATGCTCGCGGCGTACGCGCAAAACGGGCACCCCGGGGTGGCGGACGAGCTCTTCCTGGTGATGTGCCTCGAAGGAGTCGGGCTCGACGACGTGACGCTCGTCAGCTTGCTCGTCGCTTGCAGCCATGGCGGAACGCTGCGTCGGGGCCGGGAGAGCTTCCTCCTCGCGAGAGGCGAGTTTGGAATCGTCCCGACAATGGAGCACTTCCTCTGCATGGTGGATCTTCTCGGGAGGGCCGGGCAGACGCAGCAGGCCGAGGAGCTCATCCAGACCATGCCTTTCGACACGGACGCCATCGCCATGCCGTGGATGTCGCTGCTGGCGGCTTGCAAAAGTCACCGGGACGAGGAGCGAGGAGCTCGAGCGGCGGAGAGGCTCTTCGTGCTGGATCCTCACGGCGCAGCTCCGTATCTCCTCCTCTCGAGCATCTACGCGGCGAGCGGGAAGAAGGACAAGGTGGCCGAGCTGAGGAAGATGATGGAGCTGCGAGGAGTGAAGAAGGAGCCCGGCTACAGTTCCATCGAGATTGATGGAGCTCTCCACGTCTTTGTGGCTGGGGACAAGACGCATCCTCTCCAGGATCACATCCACGCCGAGCTCCAGATGATCGAGAGCAAGCTCGGGATCCATGGCGTCCAGGAGGAGATGGTGGCTCACCACAGCGAGAAGCTGGCGATGGCGTTTGGACTGATCGCCACACCTCCCGGAACTCCGCTGCTGGTGACCAAGAACCTCAGAGTTTGCGTCGAGTGTCACACCACGATCAAGCTCGTCTCCAGGATGGTTGGGAGGAGGATTGTTGTGCGGGACAGCGCGAGGTTTCATCACTGCGAGGATGGCGTTTGCTCCTGTGGTGACTACTGGTGATCGAGTTCTCTTTTGTTTATCGGAGCATGGAAAAGAAACGTCGATTTAGAGACTGACAAGGAAAGATGGATCGAAGGTACCTCTTCCACTTATGTGTTCTTGATGGCTTTGCCTGGAGATTTGGAAGAAACTCCAAGGCCCGAGAACTTGACTGGACCGGGACCTTGCACAGCTTTCAAGCCTCCCACGGCTGCTGATGCGATCTGGAGAGAGAAACGTAAAAGAAAGAAGTTTTTTCAGTCGATCGACGCTGTTTTTGATCTTACCTTCTTCTCGAGATTGTAGACGCCTTGCCACCCACGCATTTGGAATGGGATCACCAGCTTCTGGAAGTGGTAAAACCATGAGCCATGAACAGGAAAGAAGCAAAAAACTCCGTTAAGTACTCACTTGGGGTTCTTCACAGAGCCAGCAGCACTCACTCAGCGCCTCCATGCGTATCTGTACAGTCGAAAGAGAAAAACTAAGCTTCAATCGAGAAAAAGCTACTCTCTTACACTTTGAGGAAGTTCTTCGCGGCTGACGAGCTCCTCGAGCTTCACACAATCCACCACATTGACGCAACCTGGACAGTTCTTGTCAAGAAGTTCTAACAAACCTTTTCGTTTCTCACCGAGCAACACCGACGTTGGATAAAACTCGGGAAATTTGATGTCTTTGATCCCTTGTGCAGCGTAAACCTCAGTGTAGAAGCGCTCCAGCTCTCGAATTGTCTCTGGCTCGGGCACCTTTGCAGCTGCGTGTATCCACAAACGGCCTAGGAAATTCAAGAGAGAGTTTGGCAGAAATTCAAGAGCAATTGGCGCTCACCGCGCACCGAGGAGCTCCAGGATCGGCCTTCGATCCTCTTGATCCCATGGACGAGCAGCGACGCCCAAGGCTGATGCATTGTCAGGCACACCTCCTTCTTGTCCGCCATTTGTCGCCCAAAATCTAGGTCTAAAGAAGAATCCTCTGAGCATATTCTTTTAGCATCTCTTGGTATATTCGTTTCAAGAAATTTTCTTATGAGCCCTAGTTGCGGCTAGGGTTCTTGGGGTTTTGGGGAAAGCATTTCTTCGTTGAGTTGTGGCCGGCATGGATCTCATTGCCGGGCACAAATTCTAGAATGCGAGAATGGCTCCATGGCCTTGTGATCACTGCCGATTCGATTGCGCCAATCTTCAGTGCCCCACGAGGCCGATAATCGATTCACAGCTCCAAAGGATTCTAATCGGCGAGATTTCTCTCTTGTCACGAGCGCTGCGCTGGTATGTGTACTCGCTTTGCTCTTGGAAATTTCTGCCGAGAGGAACTTGGGCCAGGCTAAGTTGGGGTCTCGTCTCTGTGGCGTGTGCCTTTATTTGCTTTGGCAAATTCTCTTTCTTTTTGTAGTTCTTACGCATACTAGTCAGGCTGCTGCCAAGGAAAAAAAAATTTCTATGATGGTTCTCAGCCGTTACACGTATGGAAGATTGATCTGGTGAGTTCTCGCTGTGGAGCTCTGTGGTTTTCACTCGGCTTTTCATGCGAGGTCTCTTTCAGAGGATTTAATCGTAGCTCCTTGTGACTTGTTACGTTCATCGAGCTCCATTCGAATCCAACAGCAGCGAGTGATACTTTTCGATCGGCCTGTGATGACATCTTAATACTTGCTACTCTTGATTGCTTAGATGATGACGCTTTGTTCACCAAGATCTCTGAGGCCTTGTTTTGTGATTCTTGTCCATTTCTCTCCAGGTTTTTTTCGCAGCTCGAAGTGCAGATGATGATTCAATCGTCTAGATAGGGACAGCTGAAAATCTCTTTCGTGCTGATCACTTAAAAATGGGAATCTCTCTGATGCACTGTTGCTACTGTCTAGCTATTGCCTGGTATATGTTGCCCAATTAGCAAATATTGTTTTAATTGTCAATAGCTTTTTTAAAAAGTAATTTTTTTTATGAATATAGTGTTTTATTCATACTTTAATGAGTAGTACTTTCTATATAATATCTTTTACAAGAATATTTACATAGTACTTTTTTTTTCACTTTTGAATATATTAATGATTTAAATATATGGTTTATATTTTATATATATCAATTAGCCCAAAAACCTTAGTGTATATACAAGAGTGAGTGGTCTAGATTGAAATCAATCCAACAACTACTAAATTCCTATTTAATCTATCTAACAGCTACTAAACTCCCACAACACTAATATTAATATATAGCATTTTAATTGTATATTTAGACTTCATATCATCCTGAATGATGGAAACAATCAATGTTTTTTTGTGCATGGCTGGGATTTAGAGGAACATCAAGAAGAGGAATCAATGGATTTATATGATTCAAGTTGTTCCTGATCCCTTTGTACGAAGCATTTCAACTGCTACATATGCACAATTTTTGGAGGATTAACTTGTTAGACGTCATGCCAAACTTTATAAACTTGTGGTCTAATTTACCATAACACCTTATATAGTCCCTTCCATTGAGTAAGGAACCACATACCGTAAGATTAAGAAAACTGACTAACACTAAGTTATCCATTTTGTACTCTATATATGGACGATGATGGGAGTTGTAGTGCCATTATTGTCCCACTTGTATGTGGCCTGGGTGTTTAGCAAATGTTACTCAAACAAGTGGAAGAATGTTTGTCAAATACTAATCCCAAGATTTAGCATCAACAACTCATAGCAATCGCGAAGGTAAACTCAACTCCATTGATAATATTGGATCATGACCATATAAGAGTTTATATAATGAAACATCAATAGAACTTTACACCCCTATGACATATGTATACCGAAAAGACAGCAAATAACCATCCCAATCTGAATGTTAAAAGTTTACATACTTCACGATCATCCCTTTGAAAGTCCGAATGAGCCATTCCACCAAACCATCTGAGTATAAATGATAAGCATTCATGAAAGTGTGGTGTATCCCTAATCAAGACGTCAAAACATGAATTTCCTTAACCATAAATGTGGGACTATCATCCGAAAGAATTCGCTTCAAACATAAATGTTGGGACACTATACAATTGAAGAGGAAGTATCTAATAACAATTGTAGATGGACTAGCAAAAGTATCAATTTCCACTTAGCGAGTCAAATGAGCAAAAACAATAATGACATATTCATTGCTAATAATCGACCATGGAAAATGCCCCATCAGATAAAATGCCACTAACTCAAATGGATGGGAAATTGCAATTGACTCTAATCGTCCATAAGGGGAGTATTACGAACTTAGGACCAAACATAATTATTCATATACTAGATAATATCACATTACATCTCCGGCTAATAGAAAGACCTACACAGCTTCTTAGTCACATAACGATGTCCTATATACCTCTCTAAAATAAGAAAATTATGGTAGGCATAGAGAAAGTGTGGAATAAAGATTGAAAGCACCACTAGCCATAAATGATCATTAACATTTGTCCCCACAAAATAAAAAATATTGTCCTTAAGGCAATATTGTGTAAAAAACCAACTCCCCAAGGTGTCGTAGGCTAAAAAATCCCCAAAGGCATGACCAAAATTATAAAAAGTTCATCAGATGGGATTAAGTTTAAAATTGAGTCCAAGACCAACTCTAAGACCGAGTTCGAGACAGAGTCCAGGATCAAGTCCGAGGTTGACTCCGAGACCAAGTTCAAGACTAAGTTCGTGACTGAGTCTGAGATCTAAGATTGGGTCTGAGACCAAGTCCGAGATCGAGTCCGAGACAGAGTCCAAGATCGGGTTTGAGATCGAGTCCGAGACTAAATCTGAGGTCAAGTCCAAGATTGAGTCTGAGGTTGAGTTCGAGACCGAGCATGAATATCTGAATCCTAATATAGGTTGAGGGGTGAAAGCCCAAAGTGTGTGTCGCCTAGGGGGGGGGGGGCTTGCAAGGGGTTCCAAAAGTATAGTAGGGATAATGAGGTCCAGGAACTAGTCTTGAAAGAACTCTTTACTGGTGCTTCTAAACTGATTTGAGGTTGAAACTAGGGCTAAGGGGCCTTGGGTGCGAGTGAGCATGGACTTAGGTGGTGCTGGAGGGGCCACCCAAGGAAGTGCTCAAAAGTAGCTCCCACTCTCGAAAGGGAAATCGACTGCAGTGCTCCCAACTCATGTAGAATGGTGCCCCATTTGAGTACTTTGTGGCTCATTAATCCTTGCCTCTTCCTAGGGGCTTAAGCCTTCCCTTCAAGATAGTAGTGTAGGAGTAAAAGTACCCATACCAGGCCGTTAGGCCATGGTGTTTTCCCCCGGTGTCCCGAAGCAAGTGTTGCACTCAAGGCTTGGGATTTAGAGGGTCCCATGATCAAGTTTTATTGTACCCAGGGATGTTAAGAACCTAGAGGCTTGGTGTGCTTGGTTGCTTGTGCGTACGAGGAGTGTAACCAAACTTTATATCTAGTCTAACCTAGGGAGGGGGATTGGGAGAGATTTAGGAATCCGTGGATAGATGGCTAACACTCCATTGTGTAGTGAATTGCTAAAACCAAATAGGATCAAGTCGGAGCTAGTATAATAGGCAAGAACTTTGGTGAGGGAACCTAAATAAGGCCAAGGCAGTGTTAGTTGGATAAACGAGGTAAACTGGCAAATTGGAAATGAAAAATTTATGGCTTACAATTTGGTATCTGAGCGTTTTCCTTAGTTCTAACAAAGGATAGAGGTGGATTGCTGGGAGATGGTAAAGGTAGGGTGTAAAAGAACCAAAGTGGAGATGGAATCTCCTCCAAAGCTGGAGCCTCCGATTGAACAAAAAGCTATGGATAAGGAATCCTTACATGAGGAGGACTCCAATGAGGAAACTTCCAAATAGGAGTTCGGTGATGAGGTTTGGTCGTTCAAGGCTTGATTAGATGTTCTAGAAAGACAATTGGCACAGACCAATAAACTCTCGTACGCAAATTAAAAAGTCATGAAAAGAGGAAGAAAAAGCAAAAGACTACAAATGCTAGTAGTGTAAAATGCATGGACCCTTCAGCGAAGACTGAGGCAGAACCAAACAAAGTCAAATAAACCAAAGTGGAACACCCTTTTCCAACATCTCCTTGATATTTATATATAAAATCTTGATCTCTTTTGGTGACTAACAATAATTAGAAACCTTGATTGGACAAGCATCCCCAGTTGGAATAGAATGATGTGTTGCAATTTTAGCCCTGGACAACAAGTTAAATTCAAAGAGATTGGCGTACTCTTTCATGAATTTGTAAACCACTGCAACATGAAAACTATCAAAGGGATTTAAAAAAGAAATAGAAGAACAAGATGGAAACTTAGAAGGAAGTAATGGGGAGATAAAAGTGATGGAAGAAAATATAGAAACAAATAAATAAAGAAAAACAAAAGTGAGAGAAATGGAAGAAATATAAAGAAGTATGAAATAAGGGGAAGAAACCTCAAAATCACACTTGGTATGATTGCACTACAACCAATCTATACCAAGGATGAGATTAAAAATTTGACTCGACATCACCCACAATAATTACAGCTCAAGCTCAAGATCACCTACATGCAGAATTAGGTTTACCTCATCTGTGTATATAACCATTGCTATAAAGAATGAAAATTGGGATTCAAATATAGATGGTAACATGTGGTAACAAGTCGAGCAATAAAAGATAAACTTGAAGCTGTATCAACTAAAATGAAGAAATTAATAGGGGACTTCTTATAAAAATGACTTTGGAAAGTAAACACTAGATGAATTGGTGCCGAATGAACTTCTTGATGATACTCCCAAAAGAAAAATAGAAGGGTCATTAACTTATTCACAAAAGAACCCTTTATTACTTGCATGACTCTTTGTTTCCAAGAAACATTTCATTATCTAGACCTTCTACTATAACTACACCAATAGAATGTTGTTGACGTCGAGGTTTCTACCCAAGAAATAGAGGTTGCCAATCTGGAAAATACCAACAATACTAATACTACTACCCATACCTAGGTAAAACTAAGGAAAGTATTACATAAAAATTTCTTATTAATATATGTTAGATACAAACTATAAATTCAAAATCATAAAATTAATAAACTATGCTAAAAGATTTTTAAGTGTGTTTAATTTCTTTGTATTAAGACTAAGCTTTAGAGTGTCATCCTCATGTTTGAAATGTAAGTCTCATATATAAAGAGAGGTAATATATATGGAATTGCTATAATTGCCTGATCAATACATCAGTACAGACAAAGAATTACCTTTATCAATTGGTGAGGGGCAACTCTATCTATCAACCAAATAATGTATATAAAGAAGAAAACTATATGACAAAGTAAATGCCATCTTAGTTATATTAATTGATTGAGGAAGTTTATGGGCTAGCAAGCAACATTTTTTGTCACCTGCTATCCATGGCTTGTGCCCTAGTACCTTATCTCTCAGATCTGTGCCTACAAATTCAAATGATAAACACTCACTAGAGAATTGAGAGCAATCTCAATTTCCCATGGCACTTTGGCTGTTGGATAACCATAGCACACTTGGTGCTCCACTACTCTAGAGTGTTGGTTATAGTGCTTCACTACTAATCCAGTCTTATGGAAAGAAGTGAGAACTTTTGCGAAAAAGATGCATAAGCAAGCACATACTCTTGGAGCTCCTGGGCCTCCATCTTTAGTGTTGGGTGGCTGTTGATCACCACAAACATCCTCATGCTCAAGTAGAGCGTGGACCATACTTGAGCTCACGAGCTGAAGAGTTGAGTTCACGAGTTGAGCTCAATTTTCAATTGTAATTTAGTACAAACATTATAAACTTTAAAATTTTAAAGTTATGGCGAACTTAATAATTTCATAACTCTCTATATATTATATAGATAAAAATGTTCTAAATGACACTTCTTGTTCTAATAATTTAAATATTTACTACATGCAATAATAGAGACGTTTGTTAGAATATAAAATAAAATGTTTGCAAAAAGAGTATTCTTGTCACTTCTTTAAATTTGTACACTGTGCTTTCTAGCTA